TACTGCGAGACACAGGGTAGACGCGTGGCCATATTTTACGAGCGGGGGCGTGAAACGGATAATTTCCAGAGGAGGGAGAAGGCTATATCCGATCGTATATCAGAGCGCAGAATAGTCGGTCGCCTTCAAATTATCGGAAACAAGGACGAAACTAATGGGCTAAGTCGAGCCATCTGGCTCCGTAGGGCTGGCTGATTTCACGCCAATTTTCGATCACTGTTTTCACGCTTCAAAAACCAAAAGAATTAGCGCTACGTTAAACGAACCTTTGTCAACTCGTCATGTTAATCGTTTCTGTTAATCTTACTGTTTACCGTATCCGTTTAGATTTATTTTTTATTTACTCTTCAACCATTTTAAATAAATATGGTACCATGGAATTAATTATTTTGACCATCTTGATAATTTTAATATTAAATATCTTTCTATATATATATATATATTTGTAGATTTTAGACGTAGTAAATTCATTCAAAAATTTCTATAAACGTGAACAACTGTATATGTATATGTATACTGTACCTGGACTAACAAATAATTGCGGTCAAATATGATTTCCTTAAACAATCGACGAGAAAAATATTTAACACGGTAAGGCAGTTTATGTATCCTAAATTAAATTTCTAGAAAATAAATGAGAATATCTTCTATCAAAGGTAACTAAAAGATCATTTAACCACAGAGTAACAATTATGACCGGTTTTCTTTGGCTCGGGGACTGCCTGACATGGCTGCGCAAACGAGAGAGTTGGAGTTTCTTCCTGGAACTCTTTTTTACTCGATTTTAAAAACTCTCGACTTATTAGAGGAACGTAATCGTTGCGGTTGGAACAGGTTAAGATCGAGTAGGTATCCATCAACCGAGAAAAGTTAGTCACGGTATGTGATCTTTACACATTGGAATTTGTTCGTGGAAGATAACAATTATATTTCTGGTTAGGGTCGTAAATGATTCCGTCATTGCTAGTTTTTACTCGTATCTAAATTGTGCAATATCTGATAATACCTGATAATATCTGACCTAATAATATGTGACGTAATATTTGATTATTGTCACACGTAACTATTACCAGTGCTATTACCAGCGGGAACTTCCGTTACTGAGAAATTTTATGTTGTTAGAAGAATTTTGAAATAGAAGAATTCGTTGGAAAACAATTCTTTCTAATTTTTAGATTTAAATGCCGACTTAAATATTAATTAAAAAAATGTACCAATTGATGTCGATAAGTAAAAAAAACATTCAAAATTTTTTTAATTTCTTTTAGATGGCAGAAAATAAGGGATGATGAGGGAAGTAAAATATTATAGTGTTTGTTTATAACTTGTTTATAGCTATACTTCTCTATATTGACATGTAGCAATTCGTTTCATAAAAAAATGAATTAGAATTAGTATAATTAGTTTCTATCGTGATAAATCTACATTTAAGTTTCTTCTTTTAATAATTTTTGCAAGGGATTTTATGATTCCCACCAAAGAGAATTGCTAACATATCCCCATGGGGAGTTTTCACAAACTGTACCTGCGATTGCATCTCGAACTGGTACTGTTAGTATTCTAAAGTTCACGTCGGTATAATTCAAAGTTGACAGTAAGAATACTGGCATTCTATCTGATATGATCCACAATAAGCCACGATTTACCTAGAAACGACAGAATTTTATCTATTATATTTCGGGTAAAAAATAAATATAAACTTGTTTAGATATATCAAATGAATTGAAATTAATACTACAATACTAATCACTAATCACTTTTAATTTCGTTTACTTGTTATCCAAATAACTTTTGAAATTTAAAAATAATTATATTATTTGTTATAGTAAAAAAAAAAAAAAAAAAAA